ATCATTTCTGGGATCTCAAAATAAATAAATATAAGTTTTAAAGATAGTCGTGTTAAAGGGATATGAAGCAAATGAACTGTGTTATTGCTATAATGAATGCAGTTGAAAGCTTTTAGCGACTTACAATATAATAGCTTCGCTAAAACAATACAACAACATGAAGACAACTTCGTTTCTAGACTTTAATTTCTCTCTTCACTGGCTCGTTACTAATCATTCAAATGGTACTTCTCTGTCTGACAAAAGTACGGATTTGAGAAAGTTCCTGCCGTAATTGCTTTCCTGATGGAAAGTTTTCATAAGCACCTATAATGCTGCGACGTCAGTTTCACCAGACAATATGTTGGGCCAAAGTTCAGTGGAAACCAACTAAGTGTAATATAGGGCTCATGTCTTAATAATTATATAAACATTACAGCTTAAATATACTAGGTAGTAGAAAAATTGTGACTATATTATAATAATTATGATATTCCGTAAAACATGTTAGTTATTATTATTTCGAGAGGCTTGAACCAAATTTAATAATATTTACATTAGTATATAGAAATAGTTTTATTTGTTAAACTATTCCATGATTCAGAATGAGATGTTCTGAGAAATCAACTTTTTTTTTATTAATCCTGTGGCTATATATTTCCTATCAAAAATAAACCATACTCTAAACGTGAGAAGTAAGACCCCATCAAAGTTAATAGAATTACAGATCAATAAGTGATATAACGCCCGAGCGATTTCTGCTACTCATAAATTAAATACAACAGTGAGAAGCGTTCGTTCGTGACTAATACGGCGAAGATGGGTGAAAGATCCTAAATCGGTTTTGGCTCATAAAGAAATCGGGCCCAACAATTGTGTCAAGTCTTACGACGGACTATTTATGGCTGCCGTACTCTGAATGATAGCCACAATTGCGTTTCATGAGTATTTTTTTGCACAGAAATGCCCTAGTTATTTATGTTACAAGTTATGTTAAATATTTGCCATGGTTCTAAAATATATAAAAATTCGACTTCATTTATTAACGATAAAAAAAATTGGTGCAAATTACACGCCCACGAACGGAATATTTTATAATGATGTCTTGTTTTTTTGGCACATGGAAACAATTACGTATCAAAAATATCTCGCTATTAATTCACTCCACACTATTCCTATTTTCGTTACATCCAAAATAAATTGCGTGAGTGTTGAACTGTTAAATCGCGAGACCGAAATAGGTCACAGTCTTTAAGCCAAGGTGATTGTATATAGATGTTAGTCATTATCGTAACGGTCATTCATAATATCTGAGAAATATGTTATACTTATATAAATAAAAGTTCAACAAAAATATAATATGTATCTCATACTTTTCACACGAAAATGTTAAGGAAGAGAGAAATAGTTGAAATCGAAGTATCCGTCCAGATACTATAGAAAAAGCTTACGATAAAATACGGTTAAATTTAAAATTATCAATTTAAATTTAAATAAACATTACCTTCTACTTATCTCTTGATGTTTATTACCTGGTATTATTCGTCACCTGTAACTGGGTGAATATCGTTAATTTAAAGAAGCACACTAATTATTATAATTAGCATAATTAATATATAATTCTAATAGTTACTACTGTATCATTATTACATAAAACCAATGACGTGAAATTTTATGAAAGAAAAAAAAAATATATGACCAAATTATTTTTATGTCTATAATACATATTAACTTGAAATAAATGTTGTGTTAACTGTTTTTTTGAAACAGTAGTTAAACTTGATATATGTAGACGTCATTTAGACAAGTTTCAATTTATGTTGGTGACATGTCGTAAAATATTTCATTGGTCCAACCAGCTACTAGAATCGATCTTTTGTGTGAGACGTATCAACTGGGTTGAGTAATACTTTGGTGAATACTCATAGTATTTCTAACTTCTTTTGTCCAGACAGCAATTAACTCATCATTAGTTTACAATTTAATTATTTTTACACGCTACCCCTTTTGTTTGGTGTCATTAAACTTGTATCTTTAATATTTATTGTCTAGAGTTTTGTCATTACTGCCACTATAGATGTTATACTTTATTATTTTTCTTTACAACTGAAACTTTTTAAGTGATGCGAAGATCTCTTAGAATATAAGTTTGTTGCTCGGAATCCCTAAGTGAGTTTGAAGTGAAGTAAAGCTTGGGGGATCATACAAATAAATATGATTATACATATAATCCACCTCCTCGCCCACAATCCACCCAACTATCAAGTTTTAAAGCGTTTTAGAAAATAATTTATATAATTGAAACATGTCAGTAAATCCAGTACATGAACGTGGTCCGCCCACCAGGCGTCCCACAAGGTTGTACTCTAGTTCCTATACTTTAATGTATGTTATTGACCGACTATAAAAGGAATCATAATAAATTAATTTGACAGTTCCCAGCAGGTAGACTAACTCAAAATGTAGTTATGAATTCAGATGGTGACTTAATGTAGGTCATGTAGATCTTTGAATAAAATAATGTATCATATTTATATAGATTGTACACTGAAATGTTATTACAGCTTAAATTATTTATAATACAATAGATTCTACTATCATATCAATAAATATTGTAGGCTGGTGTACAATCAGAGCCGGAAAATTGTTATCGTTGACAATTGAAAGGAAGATTATTACGAAGCACAGCTCATGGAGATATGGTAACCGGTTGTATTCCTTATTCGGATGTGGGAAGACGACATTCACAAAATCGGGATAAATAATTAGTACCATATTCGTTGAAACCGGCTTAATAAAAATTCTTTGTAGATAATAATGAACTTTCATATGAAACATCTCCAATTTATTGTATGGTAACCTGTCAGCAAAAATTAATATTTGTTTTTGCTCAAGTAAAGGAAGTTCGAGTATGTAAATGTACGTACAATAATTGTTGCATGCAACATTATGAACCAATTATTTTGTAAGAACAACACGTACCATACTGCACGAAAATCACGTCTGAAACACATTTAGACAAATCTGCCTCAACAACAATTGCAACACTGTTGAAACAATAGCAGTTTAAATAGCAAATGTGGAAAAGATTTTACTTGGCGAACTCAAAAACTAGAACTCAAGAAGATTAAATTAAACAGAAAGTTCGTAAAATACAAAAGTTGGAAGAGTAGACATAAAAAAAATAAATAATATAAAACTTACATCTGTAAAATACCAATAAAACTTTAGAAATAAAAGAAAACGATTTTTCTGAGACTTCGACTTAATACTATATTTTTTGAAAAGACGTTAAAAAATAATAAAATCAAATTTAATGAATAATAATATCACAATATATATGTACATAGTTGATGATCAACTTAACCTCATTGTAGAGCTGGCTGTGGAAGCGATAAGAATTTGCACGATTCCTCGCTAAGTACACGAGATATATAAACGGATAGAAAATATTGCTGCCTTTGATATATTGACGAGAAAACCATAATATAATAATCATATTGTTTTATTATTATTAAAAGGTTCTATAGCTCTATATGTATTGTTTCAAATTCCTAGCGGTATATATATATAAAAAAGTAGAAAGTATTTGTATATTACATAGACTACTTTGTTTTACGTTTTAAATTAGTTTTTTATATATTCTATTTAAAAAAACCATAAAACTTGTCTAGACGGTTTGATGGTTGCACGAAACATAATGAAAAAACAAATTAAATCCATTTTTAAAGGCGTTAGTTCTGTAAATATTTAAGAGTTATATTTTTATAAAAAATTTATATTTCTATACACTCGAGAAGTAAAGCAAGGAAGCACAAACGAGCTACATAATTCATGATCCAGGAAATAGAAAGGCTTCGTAAGCGGTGCATGGAATATTAAAACAGCAATATCATAACCAAAAGGACCCGCTCCAGAAACACCATGACCTGCTTCTAGGTGTCTCAAAAACATGAATATACAAGCCTCACGCGACTTGATAAGAACTCAAAACTTGTATGATATATAAGTACATTTTTAACTATCACTAAGGATACTTTCTTATATACATACATATAAAAACGATTTTGTATAGAAATTTACAATACTTTAAACACTTTTTTTATATAAAATAATAGGAAAATATTCAATTAGGCGTAAAAATCATGGAGGTTAGTTGAAATTTTAAGTATCAATAAGTCATTATTACGCAACGATTTCTTTGACTCTATTTAATGTACATAGACATCCTTTCTCACATATTAGGTAATTGTTACATTCTTCATATACATATTTGCAGAAGTTTCATTTTTATCTGATAAAATGTTTGACTTTCTACCATGACCAAATAAATTTAATGAGAACTAGGTTCTAGTATTAAATATTATACATTATAAGTCAAGACAACTTTAACATTGCCATTTATTTAGGTTTTGTTTTCGTAATTTAATTGGCAGCCGAATTTTATCAAGTTGTATTTTATGGCGTGAAAACATTTTACAAGAAATTGGTGTAGTTATGCTTCAAAAGTTAATAATCCCAAATCAGAGTGAAATAAACATCAAAAATATTATTTCTATAATCTTATTCATACGACGGAGAGAACAAAGTCACATATAAATACAAACAGTATTGTGTTTAATTGAAATTTTATCTTGATATATATCGCAGACGCTTTGTTTTCAAATATCAATATTTACTTCGGTAATAACGAAAGTATTACATTTTCTGATAAGAGATAATAGTAGCGAACGTATCGCGAACTAAACTGGCAAGGCTGAAGGCAGTCCGCGCTCGGCCTCCGAAGGGGAGAGACGTGTTGAAATGTATCGCAATAAAGTTTGAGGACTTGTGGTCTTCCTTATATGGCAACGGAATCATTGTTAAGCCAGTTCCGAAACGTGATGTATTACAATAGACTGTTCAACACTGTTTAGGAATAGTGAAATCGTTTTAAATCCGCGGAAGGAAATACGTTAAATCATTCGATTGGAAACTTATTAGATGTTATATAAGTAATGGATTGATTCTGTTTGATAAAAATGTTGGCTGTGAAAAACTTCTTTATGCCCGAGAAGAGGGTCGATTCTCCGAGGTTCTCTAGGATGCCGGAGGCTTTGATGCGATCTATAAGACGTAGATCGCTAAGAGTCAAGCGCACCAAGTCTTTAGTTCTTGTTAACGAGAAAAGGAAATCCGGTGAGTGGTACAAGTTATATATTACATATAAATGATACATCCTTAAATTAATACGAGAGAAATGTTCATGTATTTTCATATTATTGCTCGTAAAATTTATGAATTATTATGCTGGAGAAATGCGCTGTGCCTTGACCTGTTTTCATTCATCGTAAATTTTATTTAAACTTCAGTGAAATAATATATTGCAATTTTAATGAACATTAAAATAATTTAACAATGATATGTGTATAGCATGTATGTATATGTATTTTCTTTTATTGATATAAATATATATGTATATATGATTTGTTTGTTTGTTAATAGGGTCTTGTCGTTAATTAATTATAGATGAGATACTGGACACAATCAAGATGTTAAATGATATATTAAATTTTTATAATAAAATTAGCTATATACTATAACATAATGAGATCTAAGATTTTCGTGAGTTTTATTCATTTAATTGAAACTAATATTTTTCGGATATACTACGCGACTTTATTTTTGTAAAAAAAAACTACACACTCCCGACGTTTCGGCTACTTTTCTTCTTCTACTTCGTTATTTTACAAAAATAAAGTATCTTAGTATATCCGAAAAATATTAGTTTCATTTCGATACTATATACTAATTCTATTTATTTATGTATTTTATGACGTCATCGCTATACAAGTAATGAGATGTAAGTTCTGTAATTTGCGTATATTCAAGGTTAGAGCGTGTCTTATAAAATTGTTCACATTATTATGGAAGACTTACAATGTCTTGAGTTAAATGTAAAATATTTTACTAAAAAATACGTTTTGCATGAAATATTACACACTAAGTGCAGTTTCAATTACACGATTTTCTATACAATCAGCGGATACGAAGTTTCTAAGATATTTTTAAGGTTAGCAGAAAATTATTCAAATTAAACTAATTATATTATGCGAAATTATCCGATTAAATAGAACTAGAGAATATTTTTTAGTGTATGTATGTAAAATATATTTAAACTATTTTGTATACGTGACTATAATAATAATTTCAGATACATATGTTTGTCTCGTTGTCAGTTAATTTGAATCACGTTATTTCCACTCAAATAATAATTCAGCATCTTGTTATAATGTCATACTTTATATTTTAGTATATTTATTGTAAGTCCGTGCTCGTGAATGATTTAATAAAGCTTTTGCTAGACACGTCCTTGTGACGTTTCTGACTGCATACTTTTCGATATTTAAAATATTCTTCTAGTGATAAAAATTTATTTACTAAGACAATTTCTGTCAAAATTGTCTTAGTAAATAAATTCAGGCGTAGGTATATTAAATTACTAGCTTGAAGAATTTTAAGTAAGAAAAGCGTTAATAATCGTTTCGACAAGATTTTTGAATGAATAAACTCAACTGTATTTCAATAAAGATACATATATAAAATTATACATCACGTGAGCTATATTTAGTTTTGTAATATTTATTCATATAAATCTATTTCATTTATTCATTCCGTGTTAATATGTAATAATAACGTTACTTTTTATATCAATTCCACCATTTACATTCGTGCTGATAGAATCACAAATTAATATAGTTTTAATGAGCACTAATCGCGGCGGTTATATTGCGAGTCAAACGGTTACCAGTTAATTGGATTAAAAAAAACAAAAACGTTTTCAACCTACCACCTACCTCATCATTGGACAAGCTCATAATTAAAAATATCACCTGCCTAGTTTGATACTGTTTGTTATTATTTAAAGTACTAGCTGTGCCCGCGACTTCGTTCGATGTGATTCTTTAATTTGACATAATTTTTTTATTTATGAACCGATTGACATGAAACAAACACTATACATAACTGAAGCATACCACAATATATTCGTGAAAACCGCATCCAACTCGGATCAGCCGTTTCTGAGATTAGCGTGAACAGACAAACAGAGAAAAAAAAAGTTAATTACATTTTTGGGTTCGACATCCACATAACAATAACCCCTGCTATTTTTTTATTTTTATTTTCAATGTACAGAAAGCACTTTTCTACAATTTTATTATATGTATAGATTAAGATACATACAAGGTGTATGGAATGTACAGAAATTGTTCATATATGCTTATATTGAAAATCAGGAAAATATTCAATACTAGCTTTCCGCCCGCAGCTTCGCCCGCGTGGAGTTCGGTTATATCGCGTTTCCAAGAGAACCTTCTAATAGTCTGTGATAAAAACTATGCTATGTTCTTTCTCAAGGTCAACTCTATCTCTGTTCCAAATTTCATTAAAATCAGTTCAGTGGTATAGGCGTGAGAGCGTAACAGACAGACAGACAGAGTTACTTTCGTATTTATAATATTAGTAGGGATGTTAGAAGTGAAAATAACAAACAAACGAGATGTGAATATGTTAGATAAGTATTATATAATATTTATGTAATTTGTTAATACTACTTGTTTCTACTACTACTTGCTCAATACTACTATAAGTTTTGCGATAAAATATTGTGATTAAACATTCATGTCTCTATGAATACGGTTTACCGCAAAGTTATTTTAAATCTGGCCTAAAATCAAAATATCATCAAAATAAATTATATCAATTCTAAATGTAACTAATATTTTTCGGATTACTACATACGCGTATTTTATTATTTTAAATCTACATACTCCCGACGTTTCGGTTACTGTTCAGCAACCGTTGTCACGGACAGTTAAGATATAAATTCTATATGCGGTATAAGAAAATATTATTTAAGTCTTCTTTTTATTAATCTACTTATAAATCTGATTTTGTGCTTCAATTTTAATGCCATTGTTTCTCGTATCAAAAGTCATAAAAGAAATGTTCATTACTTTATTAAGACTTATTTTACTATATATGTATTATCGAATGCGTTTAAAAATATATCTTAAGTACAGAGAAATACAAATTACAAGTCCATATAAGTGTTATGACAGCCATCTTAATATATTTTTACATATGAAGACCATTTTCTTTATATACATATACAATTTTTATTTCATTTATGCTAACAAAACAACAATATAATATTAATTATCCGTGCAAAATATGTTATTAGATTCATTATTATCTATAGTCGTAAATCAAGATTGTGTCATACATTAATTTAATTTAAATTAATATATTTCGACAAGCCTCTAGTGATATCTGAAACTGGGACATATTTCCTTGTCGGGGATAATTTTTCAATTTATCCCTCCTTAGGGAAAACCTTAGGGAAATGGTTGGATTTTAATAATATGAAATTTTAAGAAACAATATTTTTGCTATTATTAGTAAAGAACAAGCAATATAATATATATTTTTATATCTTTAATTATAATATAATCTTTTTTCTTTCTTAAAACACTAATCCTTAAAAACAAATGTAACAGTTGTTTGCATTACGTAATCAGACGACTAATTACTTAATAGCGACTGTTAGAGACATTAAAAGTTAACAACTACTTGTAATTCATTAGACTAAACTATATGCTTCCATTATACGAATGTTAGTCAAGACTTTCAAATAAAAACTAAAAGAACCGGTTAAACAATTGCTTATCAAACGAATTAAATTCAATTGTTGTATCTACAGACGGCCGATATAAAACTCTTTGATAAAAACATTCATATTTAAAAATAGACCGCGTCATCGCCGACGTTTTAGCAAATATTCTCACGTGAACGCAATTTAATATTTGATGATTATTCAGGACGCGTTCTGTAAATGTAATGAATGTAATATTTATCGTGGAAAAATTGATATAATATTTATATTAAATATTATATTTGGCTGTTCGCCCGTCCTTCACCTGACAATGGGGTTTTGGATAAAATCCAAAATTTTTCGACACGAATCTGTGTATCACTTTATATTTGTTACCTTATTTATAATTTGGCATATATGTATTTTTAAGTTGCATTTTCTTTAGTTTTTATTTTGCAATGTGTTTGTATATAATAGTTCTTTGTAATATATTATTATCGTTCTAACGTCGAATGACTTTCAGAGTACACAGTGCAACGAACTCGCCAATCAATAATTACTCTCCTATTCTTTATAACATTGTCTGAGTGATAAAAGTTAGAATACAGCTTAAAAAACATTTTAGATTTAGTTTTATGAGTCTACAATACGTACATAAAATTTAATTAAATTGATACTAAAATGTTTTATAGGAAATTTAAATGGATGTCGTGTACAAAAAATGAGCTCAAATAAGTGTTTATTATTAAATATTCGTACTTAAAATCTGAAATTCTTTATATATCCCAATACATTTGCCAGTAAAACGGAATGTATGTCAAATCTTTGTTCCAATTATGTCATGATTGCATCTGAATATTGGACGAGATGACGTTGAACGTTCAATTCAGACATGCTATTCAGTCGTGTCCTTGGTACTAAATATCACGAGCACAGCTTTAAATACTTAAATAAAATCACTATAAATTAAATAATGATAATAAAAGTATAGAAAAATTACCAAAACACATTAATATGATAAAGATTGTGATAGACAAGTAAAGAAATAGATGAAGCTTCAGTTTGTTTCAAGGTACTCGTAGTACATACATGCTAGTGTAGTTCTTAGACAATATTATTATAACATAATTTAAACTGCAAATTGTTTCCTATAACGCCTATTATTTAAAGGTAATATCGAAAGTTGCGAAAATTCCACGTTCCGTATAAATTAATTTAATGTCAGGTTAAGGGAAACCTTGCAAGACACTCGTTTTAGCTGTAATGTATGATTTAAAGGTACATTACTGATTTGTATAGTGTTGCTTAATTTTTATGTATATGTATAAATACCTCTTACATATTAGTAAAATATTTTTTTCGTATAATTTAAATTTAAATCACATTATATACAACTACATAATATATTTAAATCAAAAGATTATATTTAATTTGTCATAGCTTGGAATTTATTATACTAAAAATGGTACTAAAATTAATAAAAAGTGATATTTGAATAATTTGGCAATGTATGTAATACGTTAAATTTGTTATATTAAATAAT